CTCTTTGGGGCTCTTTGGGGCTCTTCGGCTTTCAGCCGAAATGCGGTACACTCTGGTCGGTCAATCCACTGCAAAGCGATCTCCGCCCATCTCCAAGTGCAGAGCAGGGGACGTCCCAGCTTGGATTCTGAAAGCCGGCGTGCCAGGCTCAGAGCCTCGGCGAACTTCACGGGGCTGCGCTGCCAACGCTGCCAGTGGCCCTGAGAGGGCGGCACTCGGCTTCCCACCAAAACACCCGCTGCCAACCGGAAAATCCAAGCCGCGCAGCTTCGAACTTTCAAACCTGGTCTTCTTAGAGACTCCTTGACCCTGAGATTGTCAGACTTCCCTAAAGCCTACAAGTTTCTCAAACCCTAAAAAACCCTAAAGCCTGAACGCAATTTGATTGAATCTGGTCCTCCGGGAGCTCTGCCAGCTGAGCTCCAGAAATGGCAGAGACGAAGGGGATGCGGGCAGCACCGCCGCGCGGAAGCTCGCCGGGCACGGGCGCCTTTGGAGCTCGGGCTTTGGGTTTCCTTGCTAAACCCTAAACGGCGAACCCCCGTCAACCTTGACCCATCTCCTGGTAGTCGGTTTAATGTGGCTTCCCTTGGCCAAGGGGGAGTCTGGGCGTCGAGGCAGGTGGAGGGCCGGGCGTCGTCTCTGCCTCAGAGCTCTGAGCCCAAATCCTCCCACATCAAAACTCACAAACTGAAAGCCCAAGCGCGGACAAGACATCGTAGCCGCTCATCGAGCTCTGGCAATCATGACAGTCAACGGACGTAGCCCTCAAATACGAGCTCCCTTGTCCCCAGCTCTCTGAACACCCTACTCCCAAAACCCTGCATTTTTTGGACCCTACACCGTAAACCCTAACCCCACCCCTGAAACGGGACTGCGGCAGCCTCCGGATGATGCCACGCATGGCATGGCCGCAGTTTCATGGCAGCAGGATCCAGAGCCAGATAATCCTGCGACGTTTGTGGTCCGAGGCTCTCGTTTCAATCTGCAACATCAGAAGAAGGGGCTGCTATACTCAACTCCATAGTTCTGAGGCACTCAGCTCCAAGGCGCTTCGCTTCGGTAGCCACGTCCAGGCCGCAGTTCAGAAGTCCCCCGTTGAGACAAACGGTGTCAGCGCCCCTTCTCGGCCCCGGACCCAGGGTCCTCTGCAGACGCGCCGCAGAGCGTCACGCTCAGCAGGTCCTGCTCTTCGCCTTCTTCGCCTTTCGCAACCACCTGGCATGCCACTACGATGCCCCTGCAGGAGCTGATCACTGTGGCTGCCCCCAGCAGTATCAACAACCAGCCTCTTTTCGATTGAAGCTCGGAGTGAGAATCTAAGGCAGCTTGCTCCCTGCAAGAACGTCTGAACAGCCAAACACCGCAAGACCGCAGAAAACACCTGAACGATCCCTGCGGGAACCGGCATGACTGCGGTGCAAATCGAGCCCACACTGGCCCCAGACTCTAACTTTTGAGCGAGAGCGGCATAGTTGATGGCAGCCACGTGGAGGCCAGACTTGGGGAACTCGGCCAAGGAGGCTCGGCGCAGCTCTGTGTGCACCATTTCGCCAGGGAAGCTTTGCATAGCAGCCCCGAGGCCTTACAGCGTCATTCATTTCTTGTGCTTTTGGAGGCATTGCTGCCTACCTGTGCCTAGGGGGGAGCTCAGCAAAGGCCTGCAACCTTGCAGCTCATGTTCACAACTAAACCCTAAACTGCCCTGGCTTCTCTGCCCGGGAGGCTGTGTGCGATGCTGATGGCCTGCCCAACGGTCAGAATACCGGCGGTATAGGCCGCAGCGATTTCGCCCACAGAATGGCCGACTACCAGAAACGGCTCCTGACCCCAGTGCTGCCAAAGGTCCTTGGTTTAGACAGACGGGTTTAGGATCTTTGTTTAGTAGGGTTTAGTTTAAAGCTTAGTTTAGGGTTTCGACTCTCACACTCGCACCGGTTTAGGGTTGAGGGGTTCTAGGTTTATACGGCTTGGTGTATTTTGCGCGCGCGCGCGCCCTTCCATAAGGGGACACAGCTGTCTCAACAGCTCTGCTACACGAATCCAAAGATCCGCGTGCAGAATGTTCAGCGCCACTGAGACCAGAGGTGAGTTCGGGGCGGTGTGATCGCCGAGGTTCTCCTGCAAGAAAACCTCAGGATCCCATCTCTCAAACGCTTCCTCCTTCCAAAGACTGAAGGGGGCACCCAGAGTCACGGGGGATCAGACCTCTCCTATAGAGTCCTCACTAACTGTAGACACTCACCCCCCAAAAAGAGGGAGGAGATTCCACAGAGAGTTCTCTCCCAGAGAGGAGCCTCCAGGTCGCTCCTGCCTTTCACGTCACGCAGGGCCTCCTGCACGGCACGCCAGGAGGGGCTGAACTTCAGCATGGAAAGGTCCTTGCAGAGGCTGCTAATGGGTTCAGGTGTTTCCTGGCATTCCCCCACACTTTCTCCGGGAAGGACGCGGAAGTCTCGAACACTCTTCGGGTTGTTAGTTACCTATAGACAAAGAAGGCTTATCAGACCTTCTGTAGTTTTTTATAGAAGGCAAGTATACTACAAGGCCTCTGGAATCCTGGAAGATGCACACTTGATAATTCTACCAACCAGGAAACGACCTAGAGGAACACGAAAGAAAAGCATTGCAGCCCTGGCAGCTTTGAGAGAAACTCTGCACTTCGCCAAATCGGCTTGGAGCATCCGGCGCTGGAGATCCAACCCTCTGAGTCGTGGCCCCCCCCAACCCCAAGAACCCACAAATCTTCTGAGGGTAACGAGGGTTTAGGGCCTTGGGTTTTCGGTTTATTTTTGATTTCTACATTGCAGCACGAAGCAGCCAGGCAGGGCTTTCGGTTTCGAGGATTCGGGGTTCAGGGTTTAGATGGCTTTAGGGCTTTGTATCCAAGCAGCCGTGTCTGCACCATGGGCGCCCTCGCCGCTGAAGACGAAGACGCAGGCTTCAGAAGCAGACTGCGCAAGTACCTTCTCTCAGAGTTCGTGCAGCCCCGCCCAACAAGAAAAACTAAACCCCAAACCCAAAACGACCCAAAACCCTTCAGGTCTGGGTTTTTTAGGGTTTAGGAAGTTTAGGCAGTGCGGGCCCAGATTCCGGTACCTTTTCGCAGGTCCCTTGGCGGTGGCTTCGAATAGCTTTCAGCGACCAAAACTTCTCAACTGCCCCTTTTTGCCCCCTGCCTGCTGCAACACCTCAGCCATAGCAGGGACTTGGAAAGCCACGGACATGTTGCTTGGGAGGGGCAACGTTGATTCCTGATTGAGAGCTTGAACCGTCAGAGCTGCAGGGCTTGCCGTGCCAGGCGAGGTTTGTGGTACGAGGTCGGTTGGAGTGAGACTACTTGCTTACTTTGTTGGAAATAGGGTTTTAGTGTTTTTAGGGTTTCAAGGTGCTAGAGGGTTAGGATTTTAGGATTTTGGACTTTCTGGGTTTAGGGCTTCCTATAGGAACCACGCCTGCTCTCGTTCCATGGACTTCTCGTCCGCGATCATCTTCTTGAGCTTAGCTGCCTCGCGAACCACGTATTCATTTCTTCGGGGACCTTGCCACAGAACTTTGCGACAATGGAACTGGTAGTTTGGCCGCTTCGCCTGTTGATTCAGAGATGACTCTACAAGGAAAGGTTTCTTCTGATGTTGGTGCGAATAGCAGACTTGTCACGAAGCATGCTTCCCAGCATCGCTTGAGTTCAAAGCCACTGACAGCTCGCTCTGTGTGCACAGCCCGACCGACCCTTAAAAAATGGCCCCCAAACTTCTCTGCAGCACCTGGTGCTCAGCCTGGCGCTGCAGGGCGGTCTTGCCTTGCCATCAGAACACTTCGGTTCTTTTTTGTTGAACGCTCTTTTCTCTCGCCCCGGGGTTTAGGGGTCGCCCTTCTGGCTTGCGGCTTAGAGATTCATGACTTGACACTTCAGGCTTCACGGCTTGAGATTCACAGCCTCAGGGTTACAGGCTGTATAACTGAGATAGGTTCGGGGTTTGCGGACTCGCGCGTGGTTTGAGGTTATGATAAAGCAGTGTAGGGGCTCAGCATTGAGGGCTCTGGGATCACATGCTAGGCATGATAGTGGCAATGAAAATACAAACCAATGTTCTCAAAAATGGTCGCTAGCAGTCACCGCGGTGATTGTAAACAATGCCAACGACAGTGTTCATGCAACACTGACAACAATGATTAACAGATGGTATTTCTTTGCTAAGTCCATCGTAGCAATGGAGATTCTAGGAGCACTGGAGACCTCGACCTGAGGGTCGGGTCCCACCCGAATTACCCGAATCAGTGGCCCCCCACCTCGTCTCTCCATCAAGTTCGCTGCACGGATCTTGGCCTGCAGATGTGCCTCCTGCAGCTTCAGGTACAACACACCGACACAAGCCCAAAGCCCGCAAGACGTACGACCAAGTGTGCCATTTTTTGGAAATGGAAGTTGCCGAAGCCTTTCCTCAGCCCCTCTCGGACCTGCTGGTTCGACTTTGACTCTCCCTTTTGAAACCCCAGCCTCTCGTCCCAACTCCTTCAAACCCCAACGGCCAAAATTGAAAGCGCCGAAGCTCCGCATCTTAGGTCCCCCCCCATAGAGGTTACCGTTGCAGACCGCCTTCTGCTGCGCCTGGCGCTCGGCCAAGTCTGCCCTCTCCTCCATAGACTTGGCCTGAAACAAGGGGCATTTACGCGGGGCTGGGAGGGTTTGGGGAGTTGTGGGATTTGCGGGTTCCTGCACTCCTCGGCCTTGATTGAATTCGGCCGTGGACTTGCGATTTGGCCGTTTTTCTTGGAGTTGGCGGGAGAAGTTCTCAGGATTGGATTCCTTGACTCACTTGAACTTAGGGCATGTGAAAATCAACCCCCCAAACACTGCGACCTCCTTCTCGATGCGTCGCAGCTCCGCCTTCTTGCTGGCCAGAGCCTGCGATGTCTATTTCAGATCCTTTTTTAGGCCTTTAGGAGCTTGCATGGTCCTGCTGATGGATCTTGCAGATTCAGCAGGCACATCGGCGGCATCCGAATATGATGACCAGTCTTACCAGTCTAGCTTGTCAGTGCCTGGCAAAGCCTGAAATCTCGCAGGGCCTGCTCCTCCTCAACGACCTCCTCCTGGACCTTCTGCAGGTTCAGGTTGGCGGCCTGGACCTTCTCGGCGGATGCCTCAAGCATCTACGCCTAGCCGGCAGAGTTAGTGCGGCACGTACGTGGGCCACACACATTCCCGCAGCTCACGGCATTGAGTGGGGTGGGGCGGAAATTCGGTCCCGGGCGATGCTTCTGGAATTATGGATTCGTGGCACAAAGTCAGCTGAAGAGACTCGCAGTGTTCACCCGAAACGGTCGTTGAACAGCAGTGTGATTCGCCGACATGTTGGCTTCTAAGCCCAAGCTTTTGACTCAGCAAGCACAACCCGAACACTCAGCACACCTAGTTCAGGTCCCGATTCACTGCCAACCCGAATTTGGAGCATTGGGATCAAGTCTGTTGAGGATGCACCAGCTCAGACCGAAACTAGACGTAGACTTTAGCGTGCCTTCCTCTGCGAGTCGAGGCTGCTCTGCATGTCCGCCATGTGCTTCTTCGTGGACTGGGCTTTCTCCTCTGCTGCCTGCATGGTACAGCTCTTGTTTTCAACAAAGCCACAGGAATCGCACGAATCGTGTGTAGCAGTCCCGAAGCCCCACGCAAGCAGGCTAGGTCGAATTTGATGGTGATGGCGATGCTGCTGTCGCCTACTATGGTGTTGATTGCTGATGGATACATGTAGTCACACACATGGCTCGTGTTTCCGTCTTGCCGCTGTACTATGTGGAGTTGTGACGGTTTAGATCTGCATTGCGATGTTCAGTGAAAGCATTGTTCTTTTGATTGTCGCTGCATTTCCACCTGTCCATCCGAAAACCTGCACCCAATCTCTCAAAGGTTTGCGCTGACAATGCTCATGACGATCATCATTAGCAATATCGCCACAGTTTACACAATAGTCAGTTTCTCTATTACTTCTGAGCGTTATTACTTCAAGATGAGATTATCTCGTACCATTGCTGAGCATGCATGTGCTCACAACCTACCTTTAGGGCACAGACTTAGGCCATTCAACGGCGTTGATCACCCGGCAACACTGGCACCCCAGTGACCTCTTTGGTCTTCCGGAGCTCGGCTCGCAGTGCCTCCTCCTTCTTGGTGGCCTCCGCGGCCTCCGTGCATGGAGGAAGCTAGGACTAGGGCCTAAACCCAGAGACACTACGAGTAGTCTCTTGATCCATACGCCAACCTGCTGTTCCTGCGTACATCTTCTTTACGATCTATCGAACACAAAGACTCACAGACATAATTGTACATCTTGAGAGTCTGCAAATCCCGACGTGCTAAGCCCTGACACCGGCAAGCCGGAATCAGCCTCGAGCCCTGAAGCGCCTTCTTAAAACGCTTCGTGAGAGTTGTTTTGATGGGGCCTGGTCTTGGCCGACTTTCTGCTCATGCGCCAGCTCCCTCTGTAGCTGCGAAACCTTTGGGCAAGTCGAGGGCTTTACTGAGAATCAAAAATTGGTTGAAGATTTCGAGTTTGTTTGATCCTTACTGGAAAGGATGAGGGCACCGGGTATCGATTGTTCGGGTGCAGGCTTAAGTTGAGGCTCATGTGGTTACAGTGTGACTTTGTTTTGAGAAGGAGCTCTTTGAGAATGAAAGTGCGGGAATTGAATGTATTCTTCGACTCAATGGAAGGCATGAATTCAAATGACTCATCCCGTCCCTTTCTATGCTGCGTCAGCAGGTTCAAGGGTCTGGTGTTGAGGAGTTGGGATTCATAAAAGTTGCTGAGCCTGAAATCTTTTCAAAAGGTTGGTATCAAAGAGGTTTGAAAGCATCATAGGTTTCCTGGCCTTCTCCATGATCTGGCCCTTCTCGATCTCAACCTGGCAATCCGAGTCCTAAATTCTCCATGCCTGCAGAGGTACAGTCCGACCAACCTACGGCCGGCCGGGGGAATTCGGAGTGCCCATGTAGCGTCGCTTATGCTGAACACTCTTTTTTGTTGAAAACTGGTGAAACCATTCTCCGCAACTATTCTCATTAAGGCACCTGATGGGCAATCTTCTGCTCCTGCTCCTTGACCTGCAAAGCAAAGGTCTTTTCTAACAGGATAAAGTCTTCGAGTCACCTTGAACATCATGCTTGTCATGTTAAAATGGGCAAATCAAGCAGCTCCATGGGAGGACAGCAGGCCTCCTTCAAGTGCTTGTTCTCCACTCGCTTCACCTGCAGAGGCCACGCTTCAACTCCACAACCCAACAGCTCGGACCTCCTTTGCCCCAAATCCCATGCTTGAGGTACCCTGATCAAATGTTGGTTTACGCAGCCCTGGCCGGAAAAGCGGCGCTCAGATGCCACCTCTTCCGCAAAGCTTTCCTTGGCAAGCTTTGCCTCACGAGCACAGAACATTGAACAGGGAACAGAGATGGAAATCGCATGTCAGATGCCGCGAGAAACTCCGAGCATATGAAGATGCAGCAGGGTCTGCAAGTTCAAACCCCACCCATCACACCTGCTTCCCTGACAAGTAAACTCTGCATCAACTCTGTAACGAAACCCATGAAACGCCCTCGATTCCGCGAGACTCGCGAGACTCCCGGCCTCCTTCTGAAGCATCTCCTGGACACGCTGCAGCTCTGCAGCATCCTCGTGCGCCTTACAGAGGAGCGTGGCAAGAGTCCTCGGGGCCTTTTGCACTTGGAAGGAATCCTTTTGCATTTTTTCAAGACAGGCTGCTGTGCAGCTAATCGTCCAACAAAACACGACAAGCTACTGTTGCCTCCCAGTAGCTCCCGTGACGCTTCTGCAGAAGGGCGACAAAAGCTTGAACTGTACTTCCCCGGGAGCTCGAAAGCTCCGACATGCTGCGGATGAAAATCTTCAACCTTGTTTAAAGTCGTATACCCCCGCTCATCACCTCCTAACGGCCCCGACGAGAGAACAAAGCCCCAAACGAAAGCTTGGAAGCCCGCCTGCGCCTCCGCTTTGGCCTTCTCGCGCTGGAGCTGATCCTGCGCCTCCTTCTCCTCCAGCGCTTCGTCTATAATATCTATGTTCTTCTGCATGACTGGACTTAAGCTGTAAGAGAACAGCCATGCACCGGGAAAGAAAGCTATACACTAGCAGGCATATCCGCAATCGTGAAAACGACAGCAGCATCTGCAAAAGACAGTGACATCATAATCACTGCTGCCTGTTTAGCCTGTCAATACCTGATGCTCCATCTGAGGAATAACACAATAACTGGATATAACTGGTGTGTACTTTCCGTTTCCCACTCCTCAGGTCCAAATTCTGAAGGCAATCCCAGTCCTGCTCCTTCGCTTTCGCCTTCTCTTTCTCGAGGAGTCGTTTTGCAGCCCGCGCCTGACCGGAAGGAACCCGACCGCCAAATCTACATCCATCGGCGTGCTACTTCTACCAACGGCTCGCCTGGATGGGCGTATCCTCTTCTGTTGAACCGGGGCAAGGACTTATATAGATTGTTTAAGAGCCACAGTATGAGTATGGAGACGTAGACAGACGGAACCGAGATAGCTAGATACACGGACAGGCAGATGGGTGCATAGACAGGTAAGTAGTAAGTACCTAAATGCATAGGAACGTAGGTAGACTAGACGTGCAGGTTCATGGCCCAGACGAATAAATTGGATACGCAGGCAGCTGGCACAGGAAAAAGCAACAAGCACAAACATGCACACAGAGCGGCATTCATGGATCGAAACGATGTGAGTACTATGCTTTAGCGCATTATACTATGTTGCAGTTCATATTTTATGCTGCTGTATGATACTATACTTTGCTATGTTGTTGTATGTTATTTCAAAGGTTATTTTGTTTTGTTGTATAGTACTTGTTGTATCGTACTTTTGCATATTATATGATGCGGTATAACAAGCTATGACCTTATACAATAATCCACTCCGCTCTATTCTGTTCTTAGGCGATATGATATGATTTGCATTGATGTGGTACTATCTGATTTGTTGTGGTATGATATGCTATCCTCTACTGCTTTACATGATACTGTATTCTGTTCTACAATTTTGGATTATATCATCTTGTTCTATGTCACTATGTTTTGTTATGTTGTATTTGCCACGTTATGTTGTATGCTATGAGAAGATATGGCATTCGATTCTACCCTGTGATTTTGAGTATCTTCTATTGTATTACTCTATATTCTACTATGCCGGTTACACTATATTGGAGTGCTCTACAATACACTAGAAAATTGACGACATAATGCATCATAACATATTCATCTACATTATCGCACACTACGTTAAACTACATTACAAAATTACGTTGTTGTCTTCTTCTTTTCCATGTTGTCCTATACAGTATTTGGTTCGACTTCACTCTATGAAATTACTATACATATATGTATATCGTTTGTTTACATTGCACGACAGTATGTGATACGATGTTAACTCGTACTACCGTATATGATATGAAATCTTATCATAATGCACTTTCCTGCAGAAAAAAAAGGTATGTGCTACGTAGTTTACTTGACATTACACCCTGATAATTTTGCAGCCAGTATATAATTTAATGATATGCTGCGATACATACACAAGATGTTTGTGTCAATTTATTCTAGTTATACTGTATTGCATTGTGCTATCCTATCTTATATGACGGTGTTCTATGCTATGTTACATACGTAGTCAGAGTCCATATTGAGTTTGATTATAGTATACTTCTCTATTATACTGCACTGTTTGTAATTCCAGTATGCAAAGGTCTTGTATGTATGCATGTGCCATGTGTGTATGAGTGTGAGTGTGTGTATGTATGTATATATATATATACGCGCACACATGCATGGAATATGCACATGTATAAGAGCAGACATGCACCGCGAAAGCAGAGCGAGCGAAAGAGTGAGCGAGCCAGAGCGAGAGCGAGAGCGAGAGCGAGAGCGAGAGCGAGAGCGAGAGCGAGAGCGCGAGAGAGAGAGAGAGAGAGAGAGAGAGAGAGAGAGACAGAGGGACAGAGAGACAGAGAGACGGAGAGACGGAGAGACAGAGAGACACGGACAGAGAGACACAGACTGGCAGACGGACGGACAGACAGGCAGGCAGGCACAGACGGACAGACAGAGAGAGAGCGAGACGGCGAGAGCGAGAGAGCGACATCGAGAGCGGGAGCGGGAGCGGGAGCATGAGGAGGGGGAGGTGCTCCGCCTCTCCTATGTCCTTAGCCAAAATTGACTCCAGATATCCAACCTTGTAACCGTGCAACCGAAGCCCGGGAAGCTCGAACGCGAAGGATCGTGCAGCCTTGCGCTGCAGCTTGATGTATTGGGCTTCCAGAGCCGAAGCCGCCTCATCACAAAGCGCGGGCAGCTTGTTGGGGTTCGACGTACAGGCGAGGAAGAGCTGCAAGCTGAAGATGCATGCTGAAGCCATTCGGAGCAAAGTTTCGCCCCCCATGTTGACCTGTGGAGCCGCACCTCAACCCTCAGCCTCCATGTATCATCATCTGTAATGCCTTGCGAACATGTAACGTTGCACGGCCCGAGAAATCAAAGAGGTGGTGTCGACCTCCAACTCCAACACCTCAACGAGCAACTCCGCATGTGATAAGATAGGTAGATTCAGACAAACAGAGCGACATGTAGATGAATGGATAAAACTGATAGAACCATAGGCAGGTCAAGAAGACCGGTAGATGACGGAGAGATAGACATCGGCATGGAAACAAATACAGCCGAAAGTACAGCTGCCGACAATGAAACTATGATAGGGATACGTAAAGCCTCGTAGACTCATAGACTCGACATGCTGATTCATGTTGCGGCTGGACAACGGTGCAAACTTGTCAGCATCATCTCTATCCAAATTAGCTTGACCAACATTGCGACAGTAGTGAGCACCACAAGAATCAATCGCCCTGACTACATGATCGAACCAAGCTGAAGAACCGTTTCACTCAGACTTACATGGCCTTGCTCTTGGCGGCAAGCTCGGTAGTGAGGCCCTCGATCTGCTGTTCCCGGATGGCCTTGTCCTTGAGCTCCTGCTTCTGAATCTTCAGAATCACGATAGTAATTCTGAACCTCTGTCAATGTTAAAACCTCCCTGACGCACAGTAGGGAAGCCGATCTCCATGAAAAACGGAGACATGTCAAGGCTACAGCCACCACATCGGCAGGGGCACATCAACAAAACACAACAGACGGCTGCAAGATTGCGGCCCTGTTTGTTGCCGCGCATCATCCCTGCCACTTCATCTTGCACGTCCTGTTCCTGCTATGCTATATGTCACTTTGATGCAGCATAGGGCTTAGCGGGCTAAATCTCCCTGGAAGCATGTAAAGGTCCCGTGGTAGATTCAGGTCCGTCCTGCTGGTATCGCACCTGCTCCTGTTGCAGCTCGTTCTTCATCTTTTCTTCCTGCCCAGAAACACAGGTATCAACAAAGATTTGGTGCAGCGACATGGTGGTCTTGCAGGCGAAAACCGCTCGGATCAAGTCGCATGTGCCGCCTGCCGTGAGAATCCCTGACCTATTTGCTGTAGACAGGGGTTTGCTTGTAAGATCTGCATGTGCTTGCAGGTGGCATGAGGCGGCATGAGGCAGGGATTCTGCACACTGCGTAACCGCACGCGTGTTCGTGTAGGGGCAGTTCAGCGGGGCTTCGTGGAGCATCCGTTCCTGCCCTTGAGCTAGAACCGGCTGACCGTCACAGAGCCGACATCCTAACTCAAACCAGCTGGTTCCGAACCAACAGGGTGGGGATAGCGCCTTGTAACAGTAACTGCGTTATAGGGCTTCGTACTTCGGGTTTACCGTGCAGGGTTTCGTAGTTTGCAACTTAAGGGGTACACAGGCGTTAGCACGCTATAGTCCGTATGGTGTCGAAAGGGATGTAGAAGGCATCTTTGGACGTCCTCTTTTGTCTGCCCCTGGGTAACCGTTTTCTGGTTCCTTCTTTGCGAGCTTAAAAGCCTTCTGCCAGGTTTCTGGTGGTAGCTCCTGTCACGCTGGTCGTCTGCTTGCTGTTGCTGCCGCCGCCCGTTTCGGTTAGCGTGTTAGATCGGTTTCCGTTCCTCCCAAGCCGGTTCCCGTTCCTCCCCACACCCCCCTTTCGAGCAGTTTGAGCCTCTTCCTATCATGCTCTCGTCATTCGTCCCTTTCCAACAGTGTTGCGCCTCTCGTTCAGTTTCTTAAATGCTCCATCGCTTTTGAGCACTTTGCCGCTCTTGCTTACTTGCGCCAATCCGTTTCGCACGTACTCCGACTCCTGTGTTCCTCTTTCCTACATGCTGCAGTAAATGCTCCAGGGCTCTCCGATCCCTTTGCAGCGGTTGGTTTCTTGTTTGTTATGTTGCGTTCTCGAGTCCTTGTGCGACCAGGTACATGTCGCAGGACACTTGGCCCCAAAGGCGACCCAGACCCGGCCGAATCTGTTGCAGTCCTAAATTATGTTGAAGACTGTTGGCATGTAACCTCTCGCTGCTAGGGAACGAGCATAACAATGATAAAGCAGCTTTCACATGAGTCAAGCATACTGGCAACGACAAAAATCTGGAATGAGTCGTAATGAGAGCAAACACGACCCTGCTACCGAAACTATCGGCCGCTCCTTGGATTGCTGCGCCTGGATCTGACCGTCGAGCTTCGAGATCTCCTGTGAGTGCGAGATGGATTCACTACAATGAACGTTCTTCAGGTTGGGCTCTGCCCGCCGATTCCCACCAAGACGCATGCCCTGCCGCGAGAGCGAACCGCAAAAAACCGACACAAACATCAAACTCGTGGAGGCTTTCCCTTACCCGTTTTTCTCGTTTACCGCTCACACACCACCAATCCCGCATTGACCCCACCTGCTTCACGTCCGCGAGCTCACTGTTTGCCTGCTCCACCTCTGTCGCCACCGCGCGAGCCTCTTGAGCCTGGCGGGACTGACTGCTCATACCTTCTTCTAGTAGTTCGTTCTCTAAGGGAGTAGAAGCAAGTAGGAAAGGTAGTATCAGTATCACTATCACTACCAGTACGAGTAGCAGTAGAGCAGCGGGAGTAGTGGTAGCAGTAGCAGTAGCAGCTGCAGCAGCAGCAGTGGCAGTGGCAGTGGCAGTGGCAGTGGCAGTGGCAGTAGCAGTAGCAGTAGCAGTAGCAGTAGCTGTAGCTGTAGCTGTAGCTGTAGCTGTAGCTGTAGCTGTAGCAGAGCAGAAGAAGCAGTTGCTGGCAGTGGAAGTAGTGGTAGCAGCACCTATTGCAATAGAAGTAGTAGATAAAGTAAGTATGGCTTTCAAGCAGCCAACAATGTAGACGAGTTTTTGTACGGTTGCATGATGCACTTCACTTCAGGTTTTCTGGTACAAGCACCCATAAAACTCCCACTGCAATGCAAATTCTAGACGGTTAGAGACTGCAAGTCCGCAGCTTGTTCCAATTCTGGCTAATGCAATCAGCATCAAGACGGGAACATACACTCAGCATCATTGTTTAAGGACTTGCAACATGGCATCCATAGCACTTCAGCTTGTGCATATCTGCATGCGTTTACACAATGTGTATATGTGTAAGTCGGGCCTTGCTTATGTGCTTTTATCACCGATCTACGTACCTATGTACCTACCCACCCACCACCCACCACCGACCTACCTACCTAACTCCCGCTTTCCGACCTCCCCCCCCACCCCGTTCCAGCCCTCCTCCCGCCCCCCCTCCGGCCCCCTCCGGCCCCCTTCCCGGCCCCCGAACCCTTTTTCCCGCCCGCCTGTTCCTTCCTTCTCCCGCCCTTCTCCTACCCGTTCGCATCGCTTTCCCTCCATTGTTGCTTCTTCTTTTCCAACATATTTTCTTTCTTGCTTGCACTGGCTGAGAGCGGCAGCCGTCGATGCGCTGCAAGCTTAAGGTCCTCGACACAAAGCACAGGCCCATTTGTTTTCATTCCCGCCCGTTTTCAAACTCGAGTTTCTGAGCCTGCT